GTTGTACGCATATCTGCACAAAAAGTTTCTTGGGATCTGATCTAGCCTGTTTCTCCAAAATAATTCCGGCTTCTGGTCAGAAGCGTAATGCTTTAAACATGCGATTTCAAATCCAAGATTTCCCCAATATTCTTCTTCTGGTCTCCATCTTGCATTAGAATTGGACAAAACATACGTTGACTCTTTCCAAACAATTTCATTCTTCAATAAAATACTTAGAGTGTTCCAAAGATATTTCGATTTTTTTTTATTCTATCGAATACAATATTTTGTGTAAAATTGAGATTTCCTGTTTGATATCATAAAAGTATATTGATGTTACTGATCGACAGAGAAAAAGGTAAACAGTATTTCTGTGTTGCGATTGAGAATCCATGTTTGGAACAAGTAGGAGTTGATCCGCAGTAGAATCTTGAGTCTTAAGTTAAATTCTATCGGAAGCTATATGCTGCATTTGGGTGAATCTTGGCAAGTCCCTCTGCGGACGTAAGTTAGGTCGCACGGCATCGATATATCGCGGCCCGGCGTAATTTGAATCCGCGAGAGAGGATTTTCTATCGGCTGAGTCCACGCTAGCCTAATTACATTTCTGCCGGTACGTCCGCCGGCTAATAATCGTTGATGGATATGTATAAGCCCGCAGAGGAGTCTTTCTCGTCTATCGATAGCGCGCTACATATCGAGGATTTCATCCGCCGCGACTGCCAGCCATCGAGAATTCGCGCAGCACCCCGTATAATCCGATTTACGCGGGCCGATGTTCCGCGATTTCGACCAATTATTGTCCACGTTAATTAAACCGTGTCGCGTACACGAATATTAGGATCCATTAATGTAATGCACCGTTTGTTCCGAACGAGCGAGCAGCGGCCATCCGGTGCGCCGTTTGCCGTTGTTAATTTTAATTAACGTTCATAACGAGGCCTGATGCCTTGGTGAAGAGGGAGGAGGCCTCCCGTCCCTTGAAACGAGCGCGTTATCGTTCCTTTACACTTGCGCAATATTCGTTTCTACCGGAGAAAAATCCCTCGGCTACCAGAACAAAAGCATCTTTACTGCTTGACGATCATTAGGGAAACAGATGGAACAGCCAACGTTGCAAATTATTCATTTTAACAAACATACATTTCCTGAGATATACAAGTCGAAATTTCGGTTTATACATTTACAGTAGACGTTAAAAAACATCTACTAAAGGGTTAAATTTAAAGATATATTGCTTGTATAGTCCCTGCAAAAAATCACTAAAAATCTGAGTCGAAATTTTGATTCTATATTAAACTTTGAATTCTACAACGCAATAGGAGCTAAGTTAGCACAATATATTTAATTCTAATGATAGAATTTGCTCCCCTACTTTAACTCTGATGATATTCAACATTTCTCTTTTCATTTTCTTTAGCGTTAAAACAAGTGTTAAAATAAGTGTTGAATGGAATGGTAAGACTAAAAGAGTAGGTATGTTTTTGTTCGTTTTTTTTTGGTTAAGTTAGTTGCATTTCCATTAGAGAAGAGAGTGTTGCTTAGAGTAGCAAATTGAAAGCAACAAATCATTTGTTCCCACTGTAGGGTCATTTGCTGTCCCATATCGACGTACCATTTGTTACGGGTATACTGGTATTTCGTTAAATTAGCAGAACTTTTTCCCTCAGTGTGGACCGCCTGTGGCAGAACACGATTCGCGTGCATGCGACCGCACACTCCGATCCTCTCTTCCGTGAGCGCGAAATATTTCATTCAACAGTCGTGCAATAACGTCCGACACGTATCGCGCGATAGCTTTTGCAGTGATAGCGAATTTCATGAACATTTCACGCGCCACAGTGTTCAAAAATTCAAAAAGAAATCCATGAGTAGTGTGCGCACAGAAGAATATCATTCAACTGCTGAGAAAAGCGATTACTCAGTTTTACTCAATGAAAACGATTACTGGTTATTTTTGACAGAGTATTTTTTCTTGATAATAATTTTAATCTCTCCGATTTAAAATAACTCAAATTATTGCGCGCTTTGCGGGGAGATTTTCTTTTTAAATAAGCATATCTAAATTTCTTCTCTTTTTATTGCTATTTTCTTTGAAGAATTCTGAAAAGTAGAAACATATCTAATTTGCTATGAATTAAAAATCAATACAATAATTTAAATTGATAGGAATTTTTACCATGAAACTTAATTTTTTGCCCGCATATCACTTAAGCGATTAAAATAAGATAACTGTCCATATTACTGTGTTCATTTCTGTTGGCATGCTTTTGTATTTAAATGAACCATAAAAAGTATTTTTATGAGTTATTTAAGTAGAAAAGTATTTTTTATTAAGTTTAATACTTTAACTTAATTTAAAAAATACTTTTCTTATTTATTTGTTTTCTTTTTATGACTTATTTAAATAGAAAGGCACACTCTAACAGGCACAGTAATATGAACAATTACTCATACTATTACTATATATTATATACTCATGAAGAATTTGAGGGAAGCTCATCATCGTGTACTCAAAAGGAGAATTCGTCGTCTCTCTAAAAGAATATTACAAAACTTATTGAAAGGAAAGATTGACTCGACTCTATGTAATAGGCAATCGAATTTCTGTTTTGATTTAATATTCTTGATTGTATAATGCTAAACATGCTATGATTCAGTGTGCATTTTGAATATATTTGATGAAATTATGACGAACTTGTGATAGATTTGTGAATATATCAATTTACGAATACGTGTGTGTGCTTGAAACAAGTAATATTTACTTGAACGCATTGTTCTGTGTGTGCAAATTGTTCATGATAAAATCTACTAGCAAAATACACGAGGAGCTGCAGCTGAGGGAGGGAGGGAAGCATTTGCATCGTCCCGCGGACACGTGCCTCGATGATTTACACTCGTTTCGTTAATCGCGCGCTCGCCATCGCGGAATATCACGGTTCGCCGAGTATCAAAATGAAGCGAGACGCGCGCATCGGTGGTCGGTCGCGAAAATGCGGCGCGCATTATGCGCGTACACGTAACGCGGATGTTACGTGAGGCGTTACTTTTTAATTAGGCGCACGCGGTGCACAGTTTCAACCCCGTTTCTCGCCCCTTAATCCCGCGGAGTTTATGCAAAATTGCGTTTATCTCGTTGCGTCGCGCTCTTGGCAGCCGACGCGCGACTTGCTCGTCGTCGTCGTTGCGTAATTCCGGCCACTTAGTTTTCCAGTCGCTCGCACGCTTTTCACCGCGTCATACGTAACAATTAGCCCCGGCATCCTTCCGTCGTTTTCTTGCCGTCACGAGAACGGGCTCGTAAATTCTCGCGACACATGTAGCGCGTCGCTGCGAAAATTTCGCGAGACCCGTCGCGGTGAATACGGCGCTGCTTTCGAGAACTTTCGGTTAGTTCGCGAGATTTATCGTCGGCATCACGCCGCTTGTATATCGACGCGTCACTCCCGCATAGAAACTTCTTAACATTTTTCCACATGCAGGTAGATGCCAATCAGAATACTCAACTTTGTCCCGAAATAGATTATCCCACTACGATACCAATTGGGATTCTTGTACCAAATATGGGTTTCCTATTTAGAATCGAAGTATTAAGGAAACTCGAGCTTTTTTAAGTGTTTTTTGCATCAGTTTCATTAATACGATATAGAAGAATATTTTCTTTGCTCTTATATTAGTCTATATTAAAATATAAAATAACATATTTTCATTTTATATGTAATATAGAATACATTTGTATACCTGAGGATAATTTGACGATTTCATACATTTGTAAGTCGGAAGAATTTGTCGGATATATATTTTTGACTTTCTTAGTTCAAACGCCAATTTCTTTATTATAATTTTTTTCGCAAACACTTTGAGTATTTATTTTTTACAAGTATGCGTGTGTGTATATATACTTGTGATGAGTAGTTACTCAAAGTGTTTCATATATTTTGCTCAATTTTAGTTTAAAATATAAACTAGGAAGAATCTTTGGGAAAACGTTGGGGATGATCAAATGAGATCTGTCTAAATTTCCTAGATTCGTATATTTAAAACATTATACTTTTCATCAGAACCTGTACCAGATTTTCCATGTAGAACCTGTAATTATTGTGGGAAATCCCAATTAGATGCTAAATCTATACAAGTATTTTCCGTGCGGGTGTTTCTCCTGCCTTTCCGTTTTCTTTCACGAGTTTCACGCGTTTCGAAGGCGCGCGGCGCCTCGCAATTAATTCGTCCAGGACTCGCGACATCCGCGTAAATTCGCGCGTATGATAATTCAATGAGCGAGCGCGACGACAATGCGCGCAAAACTGCGGCCAGGAGTTTTCATTCCCGCGCGGTCGGCTGTTGTCGCGGTGCGATCCCGCCTTGTCTCCTTTATTGTCTGGCGGGTAAATGGCGCATTTTTTGTATGATAAATTTATCGTCGCCATACGTCAACCCTCGCGCACGTATGGAGCGGTGCCTGACTAGCTGCTCGTCCACTTATCTACCGCGCCCTTTATTCCAGTCGCGAGTGACAAATAACGCGCGGCATGTATATCTCTGTTTTTAATCGGGTCCGCCATAAATCCGGCCGGCGTCGCGATTTTTGTCGCGATTTTTGCCCCGACCGGCTGAAAACTGGGCCGATCGAGCCGGCAAAACACAATTTGCCACTTCGAGTTAAGGGTATTCGATAGGTGGGACATTCCCTACCACGTATTTTCGCCACCGTCGGTGCAGCTGCGGAAGCGTATCGCTCTCTCACGCGGAAAATACTCCGGACGTTACCTCGACGAAAATGACATTCGTTCATTTCTCGCCGCTTCTCAAGCGCCTTTTTCGCCATCGGTGCCGCGCCATTGTCACGGCGACTGCGCATTGTTTTATATTCTTTTGCTGTGTACATGGACCATGGACCTATTTGGAATATACGTCTATGTACGTACGTGTGTCCCGGCGTACACCGTCGCGGCGCTAAGTCACATGTAGAGCTGCAGCTGACCAAGCTGCTCACTTATCCATTGCGTTCTTTGTTTCAGGCAAAATTGGAAACGAAAGCGCTGAAAGCGAAGAGGCCGGGATTCACGGACGAGCGGTACAACGAGACCAGCTATTACGTGGAGCACGGTGAGCACCTCCCGTTAGACGTTTCGAATTTAATCCCGCCGTGGTCGACCCACGTTTCATTTGACGGATTAACCGGCGGATTAACGCGTTGCGTCCGCGTCGCGACTTTCTCCGCCTCGGCCTCGCGACAGCGAGAGTTGGTACGCTCGTACATTGAATCCTCCGCCCGCCCCGTTATCTCGGCATGTCAGATAAGCCGTTAATTTAGCGGCCGCGAATAACGTTTTCCCGCTGGGCAGGCAAGTGTGTACCCCGCTAAAATGCGCGACGATGCGCGAGCGACCTCTCAGCGGGTTCAGTTAATTTTGAACAATGTTGACCTTGCACTCGTGTGCAGAGGTTCGTCAGCCGCGAGTCAAGTAATCGTGGATAATCTGCCGGATAAATACAACTCGTGCAATAATCCGTTGACTCTCTCTCTCTCTCTCTCTCTCTCTCTCTCTCTCTCTCTCTCTCTCTCTCTCTCTCTCTCTCTCTCTCTCTC